TACTTTTATATATATTAGTATAATACTACATCCAAACTAAATATTAGTGTATTTTTATTATAATCAGTATATAATATGAACATAATGTGGTCATTATCTAAAATATATTTTATAATATGAATATATTGACCTATATCTAATATTAATAACGAAAATGATTATCAATTTTTAAGAGTCTTATATATCCATACCCTTTGTGAATTAATGAAAAGAATAAAGGAGCTAAAGAACTCTGGCCAAATTTTTATTTCCGGATTTATCACCATGATTGATCATGCCAGAAGCAAATAACTGGAATCGTGAATTTGCAAACAGTGAAAGGTTTGCAAGCCGTTTTATTAGTAGAAACATCCACAATGTATCATAAAGGTAAACCAACAATCATCAAAATTTAATGGCTGCAGCCAGCCATTCATTGATACAGTCAAACCTCTCTATAGTCACACCCATGGGATACAAAAAAGCATGATTATAGAGAAGTGTGCTAATTATAGAGGTCAAATTTGTTATATTTAATAATAGATGGTTTTTTAAAAAATAAGCTTATAAAGAAAATGTGCTTATATAGGAGGTACTATAGAAAGGTTTGACTGTACTTGAGGTTATAACAGAAAATTGAACATAAAATCAAACAATGGCTATCAATAGTTAATTTTGTTATTCACAATTGATTTCTTAAATATTTGCTTTATTTCTATTGATTTAACCCCATATTCTATTTAATTTTAAGATACTGGCGTTTATTCTTCAAACTTATTTTAATACATGCTAAAGTTTTTTATATTTATAAAAAACTTGATAATTTACTTTACAACTTGAATGCTAGCGTAATGCCACATACTATAATGGTATAGGATAAAGTTTCAAACCCACTTTGTTCATATTGTATATTACACATACTGTAATTTTTATACAATAAATAAAAAAGAAAACAATTCAGTATGAATTTTTTTAAAAAATAAAATCTTATAAATTTATTTCTGCCAGTTATTATTCTAGGATAAGTTTGGAAGCATTGCTTTCCCTCCTCATGATATACAGCCTTTACATCTTACTGAACAATTTGAACATTTAATTTCTTTCTTCTATTTGTATGCTCTAAAATTTCATTAGAATATTATATGACGCATTTTGTAAATATTTGCTTTAAAACATTTATTAAATTTCAATACCTGCTTCTAATTAATAAAATTTAAATCAGAAATTAGATATTGTTTGTCTTTTTTTCTTTTTTTGTAAAATTGGCGTATTAAATGTTGGGATGTTATATCTATTCCAATCACTTTCGATTGTTTCATTCTCTAATTCTTCATGTTCATTTTTTTATCTTCTTTACTTTCATTATCTTCAGAATCTTCTCTTCTTTCATCATTACTTCCATTATCTTCACTTTCATAATTTTCACTTCCTTCATCATCCTCACTCTCTTCGTCTTTATTATCATCATTAATAACATAATTAGTATATTTTTTTGCTTTTTTAAAAAATTTCATATTTACTACAGTTTCCTCTATAAGACTTTTAAAGGTGTGCACAACTTTAATTAATTCTAATAAATCTGATCCCTTTTTAAAGGGGATTTCAATAATTGCTAATCTTCTTATTCTGAACATTGGTAAATATTTTTTATCAAAAATTAAAAATTCCAACTTTGTCTCTAAATAAATATTATATTTAAATTTTTTAAATAAATGGGAATTTTATAAACATTAAAAAATTTTTACTAACAATGTGAATGTAACAAAAAGATTTTTAAATTTGTTAAATTAAAATTTGGTGATTTGGAATAAGTTCTTAATATACTATCTAATGAATCCTTTGCTCCTTTTCCTAACTTAATTCTGTCTTCAATTGAATGAATGAGGGTTTCATCTAGGGGTCCATGTGATATTTCACCAAGCATGATTTCTATATCATATTTTTGTCTTTGCTCACACCAAATATATCGTATTTTTTAATAGGACCTTTATCACCATTTCTGTCTAAGCTCGCTTGGCTAGTGATTGCATCCCTATACAAAAAAATCTTTTTAACTACTAAATCTTATAAATAAATTAAAGTTATAAATTACCATCTTATTAAGATTTCTGTCTCTAGATCGTATTCAATAAAATCGATAATAGGTTTTATCACATTATGACTCCAAGTGGATTCGTTGATATTTGGTCGACATGTTTGGTATTCAGGATTTTTTCATACTCTAATTCTTATAATTAAAATTTTAGATTACCAGAGATAATCATTACTATAATATAGACAAATGCATTTAGCTTACATTAAATTAACTAGATTTTTAATTCTAACAAATAAAGATGCATGTTTTCTTGGTATTTTAATATTTTTATCTTTATTTTCAATACACTTTATAACAAATTGTTCTACATTATCTGGTAGTAATAAAAACTTTATTGGTTCTTTAACTAATTTTCATAATTTCTTCTTTTTCAAAGATGTCTTTATTGGAGAGCTTTCACTTGTCAAAGTAGGAATATCCAATATCCCAGAAAGAATCAAGTTATTAGGACTTAATGACATGCTTGGTAAAGTTTGAGCTATAGTCTTCACAACATTGTTTACATTTTTGTATTGTAGCTTAACAATTAATATTAATTTAGATATTATAAAAC